CAGACTCAGCTACTGGGCTTGCAGATTGCAGCCTGTTCACAGCCCTAGCCCTGCTGCTGGGCTGAAAGACAGGGTGGCACCTCCCGGCAGACCAGCCTCTGAGGCTGCCTCCCCATGTAACTGCAGTGAGCTGGGACTGGGGTAGATCCAGGAGCTTCCACCACCAGGGAATCCAGAGGAGAGACCCCCGCACCCCCCTCGGGGGGCAGGAGGGGCGCAGGCAGGAAGAAGAGGAGCATTAGCTAGAAGGAAAGCAGGCCCTTGGGTGGCTCTGTTTGAAGGTTCCTCGGCTTAAGGCTTCACTGGGTGAATTCTCATGTGTTTACCTCATTCCATGTTCAGCCTGGTTTCTGCCACGGTCTCAGGTCAGTAGGTGAGAAAGCCAGGACAGGACTCCAGTCCAAAGCTGCTTGCCCTCTCCCATGAGACCCCTCTCTTTGACAGGGATCCTTTCCAAATTCACCAAAAAACTTTATGTAGGAAAAAAAACATTGAACATTTCATAGGTTAATTAGCCATGCTATGGTTTCCATTCTGTCTGATTGTTAAGCATAACAAATCCCCTTATCAGCTCATCATCTTTGGTTTTACAAGCTCTTACCATGGGCTGCTCTGGTTCCTTCCTGCATGGGTGAAGGAAGAGTTCTCTGCTTTGGGAGGGTGGGGCAAAGAGCATGACTTTGGAGTCAGACGAGGGTTTGTGTTTCGGTTCTTCCATATGTGAGTGGTCAAACCTGAGCCCGGCTGTACCCCCCTGAGCCTCTGCCAATGGCAGGGTGGTGACTGGGATTACATTGGGCTCATAGTAAAGGCGCCCGTCAGAGTTCTTGGCTTAAAGTAAATGGCCAATATATTATAACTATTAGAATTTCTTGCTTTTACTTTTTAATTATATAATGTCAGTAGGTAGTGAGACTCAAACGTCAGTGTTTCAAGAAAAATTGTTATTCCCTTCCCCTGGGTGGGGTTGGGGCGCGGGGTGTGGGGGGGGCGACTTCCTTCAGATCACATTGCCTGGATTGTCGCTTTTCTCCTGCATTTTGTGTTGGCCTCGGTCCCTGGGAAGGAGGTGGATGGGGCTGCAGTCCTGAGCAGCATGCACTGAGACAGAGCCTCCCTGGGGAGGCAGCAAGGGTGCTGTAACTTCACACCCCAGGCAGCCAGGAAGCTTCCTTTCCTTTGCCCCAATTTGTCTCCATCCAATAGTCATAGTAAATTGGGGGGTGGGGGGTGGGGAGGGGGAGGTTGGCACATGAATAATGTCCATGGCAGGGAAAGGAAGGAAGACCCTGTCTTCTGTGTGTGCTTGCTTAGCAGCTGGCCTGGGCTGGGCTGGGCTGGGTGGATGCACAGGCAAGTAAGGAGTTGGTCAGGATGATTTGGAATTTCCTTACCCACTAGCTGTGCCTAAATCATAACAGGCTTTGAGACACCCTCCCTGTGTACTCCCAGGCTGAGCCCCCACTCCGGTAACGTTCTGTCCTTTGGGAGGCCAGGGAGCCAGTCAGGGCAGAGACTGGAGAGGAAAACAGGATAGGAGGGAAGGGGGAGGCAGAGTTCTTTGTTTCTCTCCTCAGGCTCCGGACAACTCGCATCCTTTGGGGAGATCTTGGCTATTCAGAGCATGCTCTGAGCGCTTGACTAGAAACTTGTCAGTGCTTCTTTGGCTACATCATTTTCCACTCTCGTTCACTTTCTGATCATGACACTTTTTCAGTAAATTTGCAAACAAATATCCAAGCAATCAGAATGTCATTGCCAAGGCATTATAAACAGCTTCTAATGGCGCGCACCCATAACGAAAACACACACTAAATATTTGCATCTCAAGTGTGCAGGTATAAATTTACAGGGCTACTCTGTGGTCCTGAATACAGAACGTCTCCGTTAGCACAGAGCAGGAATTTAATTGCTTCTGGGAAACAAATTCCATCAATAATAAAGTTCTTCTATATCAGATGGAATTTATATATGTGATCAAAAGACTATCCTGTAAAAAGAACACACACATAAATCCTTACAATGAGAAGAGCGTTTTCCAGTGATAAACAGTTTCCGGTGTTTTTCATTGTCTCCTGCTCAATTTCTGCAAGTTAGCAAAGCTTCAGAGAGAGGTTTCTAGATCTTTATCTTATAATGCAGTTGTTTCTTAAATTCCAGAACACTCATTTGCCAGGTAGAGGGGATCCTTAGGACTTAACGTAGACACCAAGAGAGGAAATCTGCAAATAGATTTGGCAGTTCATTTATTGCTTTGCCAGATAAAATCCTGAGAGTGGAGGAGGCCAGCATTCTTTGTCAAATACAGAATAATTTTACAGCAGCACTTGATCAACAATTCTTTAGGGGGAGGGGGAGGTTTGACCTACTTTATACAAACAATTAATTGCAAAGCTGGAATTCAAGAAATTAGGTAGCTCCGGTTCTCTGTAACTGAATGAATTTGGCTTCTGTACTCCGACCTCCAAATGTTACTAAGGTGAAGGTTACAATCAAAAGGGGGAGGAAACTGGGGTGGCACAGCCAGCTTTTGCTCATTCAGAAAAAGAAAGGCTATGAGTTCGTTCCAAAGAAGAGTGAAAATGCCTCCTTTGGAATATGTCTCTCATCTTATTGCTTGCTCTTCTGAATGAGATCCTCTTCTCCCTTCATCCCTTGGGCTCTTAGAAAAAGTTCTTGAGGAGAAAACTTTGCCCCAAATTACAGTGCCGTTGGGACCTAGTAATAAAGAATTGAGTGTCCTTTCAGCAAGTTGAAAGGATTAAAGAGAATAAAACGGGGCAGAGAAAGACTTTTGTGCTTAGCAGGTATCTTGCAGAAAGCTTGCAGCCTTGAGCACAGCATAGCTCAGATAACCAGAAGACACCTGGCATGGGAGGAACCAAGGACACACCAGACCCTTATGTCAGCAGAGCGGCTCACAGCCAGCAAGGATTAATAAAAACCTCTCTCCCCCTGCTCTCTTCGCTGATGCCTTTCTCAGTCTCAGCCCACCTGCGCCCAGGTGGTCGGAATAAAATCTTTTTTGATACATTATGGCCTCGTGTCATAGGTGCGCAACCCCGGCCCACTCCGGACCTTTCCCAAGTGTAGTCTCATTTTATGCTTTTTCTTATTCTGTTATGTTGTTGGTCTGGCCTCCGAGAGTCTGAGTTCATAAATCAAAGCACAAGTGATAAAGTACATGCTTCTACAGGAATCTCTCCTTCAAATGTCCCCAGTCAGCAGGCATTTGTGAGCAGGAAGGAAGAAGGTAAAAAAGAGTTGACAACAGCCAATGTTTATTAAGCATGCACCATGCACCAGCATGGCCTTAGGGATTGTATATCACACAATGCCCACAACCTCCAAGAGTAACAGTATTCTTCTCATTTTATGGATAAGGTAAAACTATGGGTAAAAGTTCGAACAGCCAGTAACTGGCAGCATTTATTAATGCAGAATAGTTCCCTTAACCACTACCCTTCACTAGCAGGAACTTTCACATTAGTGAGTACACTAAACCCTCACAATAATCCAACTGCAAAATATCATTATTATTATTATTATTCCCATTTTGCCCATTGCAATAATTCAACCACAAGTTAACTTTCTCAGGGTCACCCTTAGTAAGGGACAGAGCCAGAATTTAAACCCTTCCAAAGGCTTTCTTTGTTCTTTCTACTACTCTACATTGCTTCCACCAAGCACTTGGCATGCATCTTCCCAAAGAGATTTAGTGCCCAACTTTGTATTTAATAAGGCAAATATAAGTGCAAAACAGACACAGGATCTAGAGATATAATTTTAAGATTCTGTCTCTTTCCCGAGAGGAAAAAGTGGATGGGGCATTGTGTTGGCAAGGAGGAGAGTGGGCTTTCGTTTTCAAAGAAGACGTGGGAAAGGGCGTTTGTCTCTGCAGTTTACAGGAGGGATGGAAGGACATGCCCAGGCTGCCAGGTGATGGAATTTTGTATCAAGTACAATAGTGATGGTTGCAAGTGATGGGACACTCCAGTGCAGGGACTTAACCTGGAGTTAGTTTAACAAGAAGCCTAGTGGTAGGAGACCTCAAGCGTTGGTTCAGCTATTCACAGATGCCATTGGAGCTTAGGCCTTTCTCTTCCTACCCCTGCTCCCTTATCAGGTTGGCCCTCTCCTCTTGAGAATCACACGAAATTTGCCATAAAGTCAGGAACAAAAGGGAAGAGTGCATCTGCGACACTGGGACCACGTTTGCAGAAATGCAGAGGCTTCCTCAGACTGCCTGCCCCAGATGACTCCCACTTAGGTCTCATCCATCAGCGGTGTGTCCCGTGGCCACCCCAGCAGACAGGAGGCTGGGAAAGCAATGCTTCCCTGGGCATGTGCCCCCAGCAGAACTGCTTCCCTATATGGATGGGGTGGGGTGGGATATCCCAGACAGCACGCCTTGGTTTAGGAGGCTAGTGTGGAGAGGAGTTAGGCAACAGGGCTGTACTTGGGAGAAGGAGGATGTTAATGAGGAAGAATGTCCTTGTGCCTTTGTAGTTATCTTTCCATTTAAATGGCCTCAGAGCATCACAGTGGGATGCTTCCTTCCTTCCCTCATCCTGTTCTCGACTCTCTTCACTCCTTCTGCCCTGACCCCACAGCAATAGGCCTTTGGGCTAGATAATGTTGATAATTATCAGATCATCTGACTCTGCTTTTTTTTTAATTCTTGCAAATAATAGACATTGAATAAATTATTGCTGAATTAATACTTAATGAGATGAGGAAATTCCAGGCAAATATCCTTTGACTGCATGGCCAGAAGGTCTCACTTCATCAGAAGAGAAGCTACTCGGAGCCAATGGAAGGCATCGGGAGGCCCCTGATATCAGAATCCACATGTACCAATGTCGGCTAAGTGGCCTGACTCAGACAAGAGCAATCTGAGGGGGCCAAGGACTCTTGGGCCTCGGGTCAACACTGCCCTGTTTGATCTTGTTGCTGCGTCATGTGATTATAGCTCCATGTCTTCCTTCTTTGTCTTGCAGAGCCAGCTGTCCCAGGCGCTGAACGGGCTGTCGGACAGGGCCAAAGAAGCCAAGGAGTTCCTGGTGCAGCTCCGCAACATGGTCCAGCAGATCCAGGTACCTGAGGCAGCAGCACCTGAGACAGGCAGCAAACCCTATAGGACAAGATGGAACTATGTGATAAGGGAGATTGTTTCTTCTCTGCTATTTCTATGTGTTATGGGGGAAATCCCATTTCTTTTCTTCTGCTCTGTCTCTTCCATTACATACAAACACACATACAGACCAGCTTCTGACATGTTCCTTCTTGAGGTGTTACGTTTGCCAGTAGCCAGAAAGAGCCTGGTTTCCCAAGTAGTTCCCGTCTTCCACACAGAGGTCCTAATTCTCCACTGCTGTGGATTTAGAAAGAGGTCTACTTCTTTGTGAAGGTAGAGTCATTGTTGTTGAGTTTTTTAAACTCTATAGGTTCCCAAAGCACCTTGCAATGATTATATCTTATCTAATGGTAACAAACAAATCGCACTTACTCTTTTTTTCCTTCCTTCCTTCTTCCCTTCCTTTTCTTCCTCTTTCCTTCTTTTCTACCCCAGAGTGATGCTTCTCCTCTACTTAGATACTTAAATATTTTTCAACCACGATCTCCTGGTGACTCTAATTTCAGATTGCTTTATCTGGACACAATGACCAATAGATCAGCCAGCACCTGGAAGCTGGTGAATTCTTCCCTAGAGCTAAAGGAGAAGAAGCCATAAATTGCATGACATGCTAAAATAATGACTTTCTGCACTGTTTACCAGAGAAGTAACCTGAGCTCTTCCCTCCATTAAATTGTCTTTCTGAACTAATAATTAATCCATGTCAAGGCGGAAATGTTTTTTTTTTTTACTGTAAGTCAGCCTTCTTTCTAAATCATCTCACACTGATTTCTTTGCCTATTTTTGGCATATATGCCCATGTTAAAATTTCTAATTCCTTAACAACCTAACAGTTGTACATGTCCTTCTATTTCTCAAGCAATGGAGCCTCCTCTTTGCTTTTTCTGGCATAAAATATGCAGCCCCAGGCTCGCCACTGAACCCCACCTCTTCATCAGACAAAACTTTCCCTCTGGTCCAAATCAGAGCCTATGAGGAGAAAGCTCCCCTCTCCCTCCCAATATTGCCCCACATGGAACAGAGAACGCTCTTACCTGATATTTTCCGAGGGCTTCTCTGAGAACTCAAAGCAAGTGCCACAAAAACCAAAACTTAACATTGCTTATAATTTAGTGAAAGAATCACTTAAAATGAATGTGTAATGAATTTAAAAATATAGATCCAGCATTCAATTTAAGCCCCATGGGGAAGCTATCATTCATTTAGAATGTGGCCACCTTCCCCCACAAGCTGTTGGTTCATGTCTGACTTTAACAACTTACCCATTTCTGTTCACTTGGCTTTCCTTAATGAAAGGAGCACTTTTGCCCATGATTATTCTTACAAACTTCCGGTGTCGTCTGATTATGGTTTACTATTGAAGACCATTGCCATTCTCTTTCTTATTTCTTTCCCTGAATTCAGTGACTCTTTCATCTCTTGTGCCTTAACAGTACCCACCCCCTCAGGCAACCAGCCTTTCTGAATGTCACCTTCCACCAAACACAGCTGAACACACACCAGCCTCCAGAAGGATTCATGTGCAACTCTGCAAACAAAGCTTGATTTGTTTATTTAATACAATTCAGACTTTGGAGACGATTCCCTTTTGCTAAAAATAAGTTGATCAAGTGACAGTCTTCCTTTTTGATCTAAGTTTTGAGCAAAACACAACCACTATAGAATGAAATGTATACAGTTACTTTTGAGATGGCAAACGTGCAATGTGGATAGAGCTCTCCTTCCTTCCCTTCAGTGGGGATCTCTACCCCACAGTGGACGGGCGAGCTCTGTTTTCTCCGGCAGCTTCCGGCTGAGAGGTGTGCTCTCTCACAGGAGAACAGTGTGGAGTTTGAGGCCTGCCTGGTGGCCCAGTGTGATGCCCTCATCGACGCCCTCAACAGGAGGAAAGCCCAGCTGCTTGCGCGCATCAACAAGGAGCATGAGCACAAGCTGAAGGTGAGTGCTGGGCCGGGGGGGACCAGAAGGCCACGGAGTGGGCCCCGAGGGCTGTGACAACAGGCTAGACGGGAGGGCGAAGCAGGCTGCCCACAGCCTTGGGTGGCCGGTGGCCTGGCTGGCAAGGGGTGGGCATAGCCCTTTATTCACCACTCGCTTCTTCATTTCACTCATCAATATTAGTGGAGTGACTCCTCTGGGTCAGAAATTGCTTTGGGTACAGGTATAATAAAATAAATATCCCTGCCCTCATGGGGCTTATATTTACCAGGAAGGATAGATAATAAGCAAGATAAGTAAGGAAGATCCAGTATATTAGTAAAAAATGCTAAGAAAACAGTAAGGAAACAGGGCTGGGGAATACTGGGGATGGTGGTTGAAATTTTAGGCAGCGTGATCAGAATGGCCATGCAGAGACATAAAGTGTGTTTAAATCGGGAAATGGAGTCTGCACTTCCCAGAAAGCAAGCAAAACTTGTCTTAACTTTGAAGTGAATCGTGCACTTGGACAGCTGTGCACACTTGTCATCACAAGGTGGAATCAATCAGTTACAAGTCTGGGTCCCTATTGGCAGAAGGACTGTCCTGGAGCAGGTGATACCCCTTCACGGCCCCATTGGAGCAGGACAGCAGCAGCTGAGAGCAGGCTGGGTAGATGGGAAGAACCCAGGTGAGGGGAGCTCAGAAGTAGGAAGTCACCACAGGTCCACATACATGGCCAGCAAGCCTGTGGGTGGCAACCAGCGGATGGTGGGTGTGCAGTGTGCAGTGTGCAGTGTTGGCCTGGGGTTGGGTGGGGAGGGGAGAAATGAGGTGTGACCATAAGCTCTCTGTTGGGGTCGGGCGGTCGGCATCAGGGAGCTTCCATAGTGGGCAACGGTGAGTGGGCGCAACCGCGGGGGAGCTGAGAACTGGTGACCATTGCAGTTAGTATCAGGTATCCACGCAAGTTTGGGACAACCTCTAGTCCCTAGAAGACAAGAGAACTGCCCCACGTCTGAAAGACTAGGATCCAGTAGGAGACCCAAGGAAAAGTTTGAAAATGAAGAAATAAGAGAACACAACTGACAAGATTTTAGACTACTGCTTGGTGGCAGGGAAGCTTCAAGCCAGGCCAGTACCCAGTTCATGGTTATAGAAAGAAGGCAGGAAACCAGGTGCTAACAGGGGCATGGAGGCCTGGGCAAGCCTGCAGCAAGACTGCCATGCTGCACCCTGAAGAGCAGTCATCTGTCCTTCCTATGTGCCCCACCCCCACACCAGGAGGCGGAGCTCAGGCGCACAGGGAGCCGGGCAGCACCATACAGAGCACCATTTCCCCTGGAAGATGCCCGCTTCTCCCCAGAGGTGAAGAAAACCCCCACTCCAGCCGCCTCCTCTAAGGCATCCTCCTCCAATGCCCACCTGTTGCTCCTCAAAACACATGAAGAGCCACATACCTGCTTCTTCCTTCCCCAAAGCCAGGGCCATCGTGGGGCTGGAATATAACCCTTTCTCCCCTGCCTCTGTGGCTTGCCCAGCTGTCACTGAAGGGGCCTGTGGAATGGAGGCGGACAGAAGGCTGAGCTGTGACCAAGGGGCCCAGCCCAGAAAAGCCTGACGAGAGCTATGCCCATGATGAAGGCGGCCAGTGAGACCTCCTCTGGCGCTTGGGTCAGATCCATGTCTTTGAGCGTTCCTGGTGAGATGGCGAAGCACAATTTGATCAAGGATTGGCACGGCAGAGTCCTTGAGAGAAAACTGCACATCCTGAAGTTGAATCTGAACCAGGAGTGTGGAAAGGAAAGATTGCAAGGCTGGGGATTATAACACTCCTTCCAGAGAGACCAATACTGTTTCCTGGTGCTGAGTCTAAATCGAAGACCCTCCCAGGTTCATCTTACAACCAACTCGGCCCCGCCTGGTGGAGCCTGTGCCCTGGAGCTGAAGGTAATCAAGAGGCCCTGGGCTTTCAAAGGAGGCATCTGTGTGGTGCTTAATTCACAAAGTGTGGAATAATGGCTAGTTTTACCTACATGGCCTTCTCTAGCTCATCAATTCCCAGACTCCAGTCTCCTAAACTTTGAAAGTCTGGGTTCAAGTTATTTGCTTTTGAATTCCCTGAAGGACCACTGGGCTGTGTCTCATGGCAACATACTTGTAGTGATTCCTACTATGTGGGGAAGAAAGTGGGAGCAGTATTAAAACTACTGTTTTTTATCCAAAAAAATTCCCTGAAAGTTTTATCAGGTGGAGATCAATCTTACAGATTTAGCTGCAACAACCTGGGAAATATTTCTACTCCATAAACATTTTCCTCCAAGATAGTCGCGTTAGGTCTGAGTGAAACATTCTTCAAGAGTCGCCATTTTTTTTTAAAAACTGAATTAAAATCCAGACATATACAGGTATAATATTCTATAGTTGCCCAGGGAGTAACACAAGAATGAGCGCCCTTGGCAACCAAGCCCCGGCTTTCCTAATAGCAATCGCTCACACTCGGGGACGCCTGCTCTGAGGCAGCACTGTGCAAACCGTTTTGCAGGGATCAACTCCTCAATTCCTCCCAACACCTCCACAGGTCATTCTTACTCTTATCCCCATTCTAGAGGTGAGAAGCCATGGCACCATGATATTAGGAACTGGTCCAAGGATCCAGGATTCCAGTCCTGGTAACCTGGCTTCAGAGCCCAGAATCTGTACTGCCACTGGCTGGTAGAAGCACAATGCACAGAGAAGGCCTGTCCCCACCCCCACCGTCTCATCAGTCCGCCAGCACCTAATGCCCACCTGCTAGGAGCTGAGTGCTGGGGGGAGAGGGGGAGCAGGGGAGGAGAGAGGAGGTGGCTCAGGATTAGACGTGCCCTTCCAGACGTGCCATTTCAGGGGATGAGATAAATCACACCCACAGAGGACTTCAACACAGGTAGAGAGTGAGCTTTCAGAGGGGAGGTGGCCAGAGCATGGAAGTTAGGAGGAGGGTACAATTACTTGCAGCTGAAAGGGTCACAGAGGGAATCACGGGAGAGCTGGCCCTGGCGTTGCCCAAATTTTGGGAGGTGTGTGCTCGTGGCAGCTTACGTTCTCGCCTGTGGGATTTGGCAGAGCGTGGAGGGAGGCAGACGGTGGTTAGCACATTGCACCCCGGCCTTGCTCCATCCGGGTAGTCATGAGGACTGATCCACGTGTTCTGATTCTGTCGCAGCTCTGCCATTATTAACCCATCGCCACTCTAGCCCTTCATTTTAGCAGCTTCAGAAAGCCAGAACTCTGGTTGCTATAGCAGAACTCAAGATACCTTTTGAATCAATCACATAGAATGATCTAAAATAAAAACACAGTTGTCTTTAGGAAATGAGCCGTACAGCTGAGGTTTTCCCTAAATAATGGGCCAACGGTTTTAGTATCTAGCCATAACATTGTAATGTTTTCTCAATGGAAATGTCTTTTCTAAAATATTGTAGACACTTTCCTGGCATTATAAAACTGAACACAGCGAACAGTTTGTGATAAATGATATGGATGGTGACTATCGTGGCAACTTCAAGTTTCCTATTTGGGACGATGTTAAGGGCAGGAATCTGGACGGAAGAGGAAATCAGAGATTAAAAAGCATCACTTATTTATATCAAAAGGTGGCAGAGGGGCATGAAGCTCCCCAGGCCCCTCCTTAGTGCTGCCTCTGCAGATGGTACTGTATGAAAACGCGTTACAGGCTGTGCTGTGGACGCAGATGGAGACCACACAGGAGCGGTTTTAAGGCATCACTGGGGCTCCGCCCCGCAGGGCGCACTGAAGCTCTTGGGGGCTGCTGAGCAGAGGGGCTTGCCCTCATTTCACTCGCCCAGGGCGGAGTTCCCTGCCCCAGATCCCAAAGGGCTATGGAGACCGGAGACAGGTGGCTGGGTGTCCCCCGCGGCAGCAAAGCTGTTCTGTCTTCTGTCTGGAGTGATTTGTTTCTCTGCTGTTTCAGCTGATTGTATCTGTCACTGCTTCTAAAAACAGCCAGCAGTGCCGACACCGTGACTGCCGATGCCAGCCTCCCTGTCTCCCTCGCTGCTGTTCTCCTCCTGCCTTTTCCCTTTCTTGTCACTTCTGTTGCTACTCAGATTTGTGAGAAAGGACTGGCCTTTTAGGGACATCACTTGCCAAGCACAGTTCTTTCTGTCTTTGTTGGCTAACCCATCCCTCACAGTCCGGCAGGGATCATCTTGTGATCTTCCGCTTCCTTTGGCCGAGTTCTCTGGGGAAGCTTTTTGCTGACAAGAGGAGAGTTGTGTGTGTGTGTGTGTGTGTGTGTGTGTGTGTGTGTGTGTGTGTTCTGGCAACTTTCTCTTCCTGAGCAATCCAAAAGGCTGGGGGTGCTGGAGAGCGAGCGTGTATAAAGACAGCCTTTACAGTCTGCTCAGGCCCTCTCTGAGAGCGCTGATGGCTTGAGCACATTGAGCAGTTCTGCTTCAGAGGCAAGACAGAGCTGAGTGGTGAAGAGCCCAGTCAGTCTCTGTGTCAGAGAGAATGGGGTTTGAGGACACCCTTTATCATTTACTGGGTCTCTAACTGTGGGCAAGTGTTAAGTCTCCATTTCTTTTACCTATAAAATAAGGCTGAAGTAGTCATCACTTCAGCTGACATTGAAAAATGCTGAACACAGTACCCAAAAAATATTTGCTATTATTATTGATGTTATTAAGGAGAGAGAATGACTGAAAATCTGGTTTCCCTCAGCCCACTGAAGAAGGGCTCCTAGAGGCTTACTCTTCATAAACCATCTATATATATAAAAGCCTAAGCGATGGTTATGACCGGTCGACTGAATGACCAGTTGACCAGTCGCTATGACACGTACTGACCACCAGGGGGCAGACACTCAACGTAGGAGCTGCCCCCTGGTGGGCCGTGTGCTCCCACAGCCAACCTCCTGCAGCCTGCCCCGATCAGCCACAATCACCGGCCAGGTCGAAAAACCCCACTTATGCACGAGTTCATGCACTGGGCCTCTAATAGTTTATAGTGTAGAATTAGCCTATGCATCGGTGTCACTGTCTCTGAACCTCAGACATTCTTTAGTGGCCTGAGTTTATAATTGATCATCCTACAAAATAGTTCACAAAGTTGGGTGAGCTATTTTTAAAAAAGGCTTTGAGACATATGCAGATGTGGCCATATTTTAGGAAAACTATTTGAAATGTAAATCACAGTTGATACTATTTTGTGATTTGAAAAAAGCACTGGGAGCCAAATATCTGTTTTCAGGATGTGGTGAACTAAAGCAAATGTCTGAAAGCTACTGGAGAGAAGAAAAGCTTTTGAGCTTTCAAGAAATATTACCAGGTCATATTTGGAACTCCTGGGCAAGATCCTCCTGATGAACAGATAGACTGGTCCCAGGTTCCTGTCCTGTCTGCATGTTTGTTAACATCCTTCCCAGGTCTGCCCTCGCTGAGCAAGGCCGAGTATTGTCCTCTCTGTGAGATCCTCACAGGGAATTTGTAACAAGTTACAGTAAATTGTCTCATTAATGAGATCGATGCTTTTCTCAGGAACTTTACAAATGTATTTTTCATTTGCTAAACCCAAAGAAATATCAGATAATTATTGTTATTTATGCAATGTTCAGAATTTGAAATAATTATCTTAAGTGTATTTTTTCCCTTTATTGAATAAGATATTACAAATGTGTCCTTATCCCCCCAATGTCCCCTCTCTATCTCCAATATTTTTTAATGAATTCATATGTTGAATAGTGTGTGATAGGTGTCTTAATTACCTTTCAACTCCAAGATCCTCTGGAAAAGGAAAGTTATGGTTATTCAAAAATATTCTGGGAAAGTATATTCTTTGATTTTCATATGTGGTTGGTAAAACATACCAACAAAATTACTCAGTGAGAATGTCGAGGGATATTGACAAAGCTAACTGTTTTATGTAGCGTTTTATATTTATAGAGGTTCTCCATATCCCAATTATAATTATCTATAGAATGCTTGATTTTGAATCTTACTGTACTGTTGGATTTTGTGAGAATCATTATTATTATTGTCATCATTATCTTTGTTAATATTTACTATGTATTGCCTATGTTTTGGTCCCATTATGTTTGTTAAAAACTACTTATATGGCCATATCACTGAGTACAAATTTACACTAGGGATATTTTATTGGCTTGTCAAACTGCTTACTTCAGCTATTTTACCATTGATTCATAATAAGCAAGAGAGAGAGACGGGGGGGAGGTTTGGGGAGGGAGGGAAGGAAGAAAGAAGAAAGAGGAAGAAAGAAGGAAGGGAAGAAGGAATATCTGCTCAAGTTCACAAAGAATTTTAAAATAATTATATAGCATTTGACTGGCTACAGCTATTACTAGAAAGAAAAGGCAACAAATTTAAGCCAATAATCAGCTCAATTCCAATAAAACTACTACTGGCTAAGAGTTCAGTTAATCTATTAGAATGAAGACATTTGGAAAAATTAGGCACACTGTAAACAACTTCAAACCTTCAGCTGCTCTCATCAGAACTCGTTAGGGGCCCAACTCTAATAATTAAGCCACAATTATTTTGATTGCAAGCCTGTTATTATGGGCAATTCCTTTCAGTTTCATTTGGCAAATTCTGTGGTCCTCTGCTTCCCACCATGTAGGAGCAAAAGTCACTGAAAGTCTGTATGGTGGCATGTGACAAAATAAAGATGTTCTTTCTCAAAAAAAAAAGTTTCAGTGAATGTAATGATAATATGGGAGATAACATTCAACTCTAGGAAAATAGCAGGAGAATTCTTTATTATATTCAATTAATCTAATGGCCAAGGTGCTTCACCTGTAACTCACAAATGAGTCAGTTCCAAGCATTAATTGGTTATCTTGCTTTAAGACAGTGGTTCTCAACCTTGGCTGCACATTAGAATCACCTGGGAATCTTTTTTAAATCCTTATTTCTGGACCTCATCCTCTGGAAATTCTGTTTCTTTATTATGGGGTGAGGCCACAACATTAGTAACAAAGAAACAGAATTTCTGGAGGATGATGCCCAGAAATCAGGATTTTAAAAAGATTCCCAGGTGATTCTAATGTGCAGCCAAAAAAAAAAAAAGGATTACCTCATAATTAGGGGAATTGGTTTTAAACTGTGATGGGATAGTATACATTATACTTTAAAAGAAATTCTTGAACCAGGAGAAATAGAATGTTAATATTTACTTAGACTAAAAATTCATTAGTGGTATCCCTCCAGGTGCTATGATGAGCATGCTATGAGAAAAAGCATTTATTAAAAAGAAAAAATAAAGAGAGGTGAGATGATTTGATTTTTCCCCATCTCCCTTTCAATTGATTTGGAAAGTATATGTAATAATCTTCAAAGGAAAATAAATTTATAATAACAAATGGAAAGAGGGAACAAGGAAAAGACATCAAATAATTAGTTAAACTCCTTTAGTTATTATCTGTGAAATCTGGACTGCTGGATGTTTCTGAGGCTTTTGCACAGTAGCATGAATATCCGCATGTGAGTGACTGCGATTCCCAGGAAAATCTTGTTCAACTCTGTGCTTCAGAAACCACCTCAGGGTTTGGGTCACTGAGCAGAGGACACACAGGATGTGTGAAACTTTCCAGGGGCTGCCCTGCGTTTGACGCTAGGCAGAGACAACTTCCCCGAGGCAGAAACTGCCTCTCTAGGTTAAAACTGACTCACAGCTTGGCAAATAGGACAGCCTTTAAAACTGCTTTCCAAAATGAGCTGATTCTAAGTGGGTTATTCCTAAAACTTAATTCTGCAGCCATCTCTCTCTGGCTTGCTAGTCATTAGCTCATTGTTTTCCAACCAGTCCCACCTCCACCTCCACTCCACCACCCACCTGAAGAGTCAGATTGAGAAAGGAACTGGGTTCGGATGGTGATGTCTGCTGTTTAGAAGGGACAAGCAGCGGTGGGAGGAGGTGGGCTACTGTGTTCCAGCGCGGGAGCTGCAGCCGAACCTCAGATGGCTTAGCTCCTTCACAAACTCTCTGTGACCCCCAACTTCCAGCAGCTCAGGGTCTCCGCTTCCCAAGAGGAGAGTAAGGGGGGACCTGTGGAAGGTGTCCTTGGAGGTACCAAGGTAGCCAGGTTCTCATGATTTCAATGACTTTCTGGTGGGTCCTGTTGTTACAAGTTTCTGTAAGAGCCATTATCCAAGCTGTCCTCTGGGGTCGTCGTCCACAGCAGACATTGCCACAAAATAGTCTCATAAATTCAGTTTTGCTCCACGATGCCCTTGGATTCTGGTTTGAAGAAGCTTTCCAAAGTCCCGGTTTGCTTCTTTTCTACTCTCTGCCATTTGGGGACCATTCTGTTCTGTCATCGATCCTAGGTGGTTCGAGATCAGATCTCTCACTGCACAGTGAAACTGCGCCAGACTACGGGTCTCATGGAGTATTGCCTGGAGGTGATAAAGGAAAACGATCCTAGTGGCTTTTTGCAGGTAAGTACCAATTAGTTTCTGCTTCAGATTCTCAGTGCCCCATGAGATTGACTCTACCAAGGCCAGATTCCGACCAGTCCTAAGTATGAAAGGTTTCTATCTTCTTGACACCTCCTACTGCCAATATGTCCACGATTTCCCCCCAAAAAGTGAAGTTTTTCAATTCCTCATATGTCTCGTGATTTCTTCAGTATTTGTTGTTTTAGTGAGATGCTATGATGTCAGTTGAATTTTATTTAACTTTCCATCCCAATGATTAAGGGACCTTTCATTAAGGAATATGTAGATCACTTGCAAGTCACTTCCTGCCAAACTGGCCAAGAATGACAGACACTAAATATAAGAAAGGAAAGCGCTCTCTGCCAAAGAACAGAGCGATACATGAAGAGGATGATGCCTTAAAGTGTAACAAATCCCATTCTACAGATTATCATCGGCAGCCTCTCTAAACTACTTGTAAAACTCATTTCCAAGTATGACAGGATACCCACACCTCAGGTGAGAATCAGGGTTGTTGGTTCTAGGAGGAGTCATTAGTCACCAACATAGCATTATTTAATGTTGCTGGCTTTAAGCTGATCAGTCCTAAACAGCATGATCATCCATCCAGGTTTGTCTATTAGACCAATTAACAGCTGCTGATTTTTATATCACCCCCTCTGACTCACAAAAGTGTCCAGATTTGCCTGCTAAATCATGGGTCACCCTCACCCTTACCAGCTCCTCACCACCTGCACAGAGTCAGGAAGGTGTGAGTCCCAAGGAAGGTTGCTGGTGACACTTGGGCAGAGTTGAGGGCAGTGTCCCGTGGCCACTGTGGTGGTGTATTTCTTAGGCTGTGGTCTTTGATGTGACTAGATCTCTGACGCCCTCATAAGGAGAGTGCACCTGACTGAGGACCAGTGGGGGAAAGGCACACTCACTCCCAGGATGACCACAGACTTCGACTTGAGTCTGGACAACAGCCCTCTGCTGCAGTCCATTCACCAGCTCGACTTCGTGCAGATGAAAGGTGGGTGCCTGGGTCCCCCCAGTCATAGAACCAACCGAGTGGAGACAGGTGCTTGAAGCAGGGTCCAGGCAAACAAAAGGCAGCTGCCAGGTTTATAAATCACCTGAGAGGTGGGAAGGTAAACACACACGCCTGTGGTTAACGTTACAAAACCCGGAATGGCTCCTGTCTTACCGTGTAATGGACTCGTACCTGGTAGCTGTGTAACCTACCTCTCAGAACAAACTCAGGGCTTGTCAGTTTGAGAATCTTAGGGATTTCAGAGGCTCAGTAAGGTTAATGAAGGAAGTTCACATTTTGCAGGACTATTTAAAGTCCTAAATATTCTCAAATGATTTGTTGAGAGAGAGAGAGAGAGAGAGAGAGAGAGAGAATCACAGTACATAAATGTTATCTTACTGCAAAAAGTAAAAAATAACCCAGGCCCTGGCCAGCTTAGCTCAGTGGATAGAGCATCAGTCTGCGGACTGAAGGGTCCCAGGTTCAATTCTGGCCAAGGGCACATGCCTGGGTTGTGGGCTCGATCCCAGTAGGGGGTGTGCAGGAGGCAGCCCATCGGTGATTCTCTCTCATCATTGGTGTTTTTATCTCTCCTTCTCCCTTCCTCTCTAAAATCAATAAAGAAATACAAAATATATTTTTTAAAGTAACCCAGAAATATTGACAAAAATCAAGAGAGTTCAGAATTGCAATGACTGCTTCCACATGGGTAGATAGTGAGCAAATGATTGGACATGGGTTAGTGGGAAATTGAAGGATCAGCTGCTTGCCAGTACTGGTCAGAAAAATTGGGTCTGGATGGAGAAAGAAAATAAAAATTTGAAATAAATGTTAACGTTTTTATTTATGTGATTAAAGGCTATGGCAGGATCTCTGAGATTTTGGGGGTGGCTGAGGGAAAGGAAAAATACTTAAAATTATCTTAAGGAAATTAACTCTTTCAAATCAAAATTAAAACTCAAACCAATCATGCAATGATATTTTAATGGCAGCATAAGTAATATCCATTTGAAAAATATTTCTGATAGGATTTTTTCTTTACTTTTTATATTGAAATAATTTATGGGGAGTTACAACAATAGTAAGGAGAGGCCCGGTGTACCTTTAATCCAGTTTCTATCAATGGTTACATCTTGCATAACTAGCAAATAATGTCAAAACCAGGAAATCAACATTGGCACATTGTGTGTGTCTAGTCCTCTGCCATTTTGTCCGGTGGGTAGCCATCACTGCAGTCGAGGTGCGGAACTATTGCATCACCACAGAGAGCTCCCTCGGGCTACCCCTTTAGTCAGCCACACCCCTCCCTCCACATCCCAACCCCGGGCAGTCCTGGGTCTGTTCTCTGCATGATTAGTCACTTTCTGATGTTTCCGTAAGAAATTGATTTGCTCTTTGCTTCTCCCAACTTAAGCATCCACATAATAAATGACTTAAAGGACACGTACTTTAAAATTTTTGTTTCCTAGGAAAAATCTACATGCTTCCTTTAGCAGACAGACAGAACCGTGTAACTCTGCAAGGCGTAGGGCCGTGTGCTGATGGCCCACGTCACGCAGTGAAGTGCAGCTTCTGAATGGATCTTTACCCTCTTTTATTTCCAGTTTTCTCATTCTGTTGTTCACTATGTATTGCTATGGGACAATGCCCTCATTCACATTGAAGCAGAGTATAGATTGCAAACAAAAATGCTCTGCCGCAGTGACAGGAATGCTTAGCATTTTAGACTGCTTACCAAATCACTCTTCTAAGTGCTTTCCATGGATTAACTCAGTTTGTTCTCACGGCGCTACGAGGCAGCTGAGGAAACTGAGGCACAGGAAGACTGAGTTACTTGCCTAGCCTCACGCAGCTAGTGACTGCCAGGCCCCGGATTCAAAGCCAGGGATCCTGACTCCGGAATCCACACCTGCTACTTCCCATTTGTACTGCAAAGCTAGTGCCTTACTAAGCGGCTTCTTCCAGGAATCGCTAAGTTCCTCTCTGAAACTTAGAAATTTAGTTTTTTGTTGCAGCAACTCTTTCTTGCTGTTTAAATATTCTTCTTTTCCCTGGCTGATGTGGCTTCCTCTCCTTCAGCATTGTCCCATGCACTGAGAGGTCACCAGTTGGATTCCTGGTCAGGACACATGTCTGGATTGCCGGCTAGATCTCCAGTGGGGGTGTGCAGGAGGCAGATGTTTTCCTCTCTCCCTCTCTCTTCCTCTCTCTCTAAAATTAAATAAAAACGTATTTCAAAATAAATAAATATGCCCTAGCCAGTTTGGGTCAGTGGATAGAGCATCGGCCTGCGGACTGAAGGGTCTCCCGTTCAATTCCGGACAAGGGCACATGCCCAGGTTGCAGGCTTTCATCCCCAGTAGTGGGCATGTAGGGGGCAGCCAATCAATAACCCTCTCTCTCATCATTGATGTTTCTCTCTCCCTCTCCCTTCCTCTCTGAAATCAATAAAAATATATTTTAAATAAATAAATAAAAATATTTTTTTCTTGAACACCGATGCAGTAGCCTGTGAAATGCAGCCACCTGAGTAGTGGTTAGAGCCCCTCCATCAGCGTCTCTCTGTACCCAATTCTTTCAAGGAGGTAAAATCGTTCAAAGGTTATGTCACAAGCAGCTCAAAGGAGAAAATATGTCACAAAAGGACAATGTAAAGCCTTTGGTGGGAGAGGAAAAAATTGACCCAACCCAGTTAGCAGTGCTGATGGGGCAGCAGAGGAGGGACAGGGGAGGATAAGAGCCTCCAGACGCTGAAGAGCTCCCAGCAGCTGGCAGAACCTCTCCTCCCCCGTTCACCGTCACTGAGTCTTGTCCTTCTGCCACCGTGGCGACCGGGCCACACGGTAGGATGGTAGCCATTGTGTTGGAGTGAACAGGCCTTTCATCTGGTCTGGGAGCTTCAGGTTTATGGGCGAGGCCTCCCAGACCTCATTCCTAAAGCATCGTCACCCGGCTGTTCAGGCTGCACCAGAGAGAAGCCTGCACCCAGCTGTGTGGACAGCCCATTACTCTGTGCATCCAGCAGAGAGGGCCGAGCACTCTAAAGGCCCCGATGCACAACACACCGCAGCAGTTCACCCGGGACACAAAAGTATGCAGAACAGTCATGTATGAAGGTGATACAATAGGCCATTGCAGAGGAGGCTGGGTTACTCCCTTTTCCTTTTCTTTTTAACACTTCATCTGAATGTAATTTACTTCTGATTGGTGTCCCTCTGCAGGGTTCATGTATATGCTTTGTTTGGTGCTCCTTAAAGTTTAATTCGGTGAGAGCCATTCCTCTTCAGAATCTGAATCATTTCTATCTGTCACATGCTGGCGACGGAAGGAAAAGGCCAAAGCTCAGGATGCCCTGGAACTTGGCTGGCTGTTGTGAAGATGTCCACTGGCCTCTTTGATGTCTGTTAACATCTGTACATCTGTATCGGTGTAGCTTTAAGACTTTATTTTTTAGTATATTTGCGGTCATCTAATAAACTGCACTTTCATAGCTTATCAGTAAAAAAATATCTCAAGAAACTGCACCCCCGCCGTAACCGGTTTGGTTCAGTGGATAGAGTGTCGGCCTGTGGACTGAAAGGTCCCAGGTTCGATTCCGGTCAAGGGCATGTACCTTGGTTGCGGGCACATCCCCAGCAGGGGGTGTGCAGGAGGCAGCTGGTTGATGTTTCTCTCTCATCGATGTTTCTAACTCTCTATCCCTCTTTCTTCCTCTCTGTAAAAAATCAATAAAATATATTTAAAAGAAAAAGAAACTGCACCCCAAAATCCATGTATAAATGACCAAAATTTAAGTAGAATTTTAAGGAACCTGACCATTGTGAAACTAACAATATGTGTAAGTCAGTGTTTTTAATGGTTCCAATTGTCTTCTAACTGTGGATTATAGTAGAAAGTTAAAATATTTTCCAAATTACTTAAAATATACATTTAAAGTTATGGCTCAAACCGACAGCTAAAATTTCTACTTACTTTTTTCTTTTCTTTTTTTTCTTCTTGAGTCAAAATTTTAACATCCCTTTGGTTTTGGTATTTCATCTCAGATGCCTTTTTTTCCCCTTGATATGAAAGAAGATAGTTCTGTTGTTGGTTTTTACATGTTTCTATTTAGGCCAGTTACTATTTGGCAAGAATGCACTGCTTAAAATTATTCTATTAACTAAGGATTTAACTAATCTAATCTTTCTGATTTCACATCACCCCCAAGCAATTGAGATCTAAGTGGAGATTGCTGGTACCTGCTTTGTTCAAACATCCCAAAATTTTAATGACATGTTCTCTGGTTGCATTTTGATTAGAAAATTATCTTATCCTCCTTCTATAGTTACTATTGAGAGTGGTGTTTGATCTCGCAGACTTTTCTTTTATAAAAAAACAATAGATTAAGCTTTGTTTTCTGTTTTTATTAGTTGAACCTGGAGAACGTGGCTGTAGAACCTAGCAAGAGAAAATGGACACAGAACTTGGCTAGAGATTGTGGCTATAGATCCTGGCAAGGCTGCTGATCAACTGAACGCTGTCTCCGTGTCATTCCTTCTTCGCCGACTACTTCCACACCTTTGGGGACCCCTGGACCTGCTGGGGCTGGACCCCAGCAATTTGGGAGGGTTGTTTGTTTGTTTGTTTAGTTTTTCCTTAATTCTAAGTTGGTATTGTCAGCTTTTCCCAGGTCATGGGAAGGAAATTTTAAGATTCTTTTCTAAAGGGCTCTGCTGCTTGGCTCAGAATAGATTTCAGATACCTACGCCCTCCCAGAAAAATATTACCCCACAATTGTCTAAGTATACAAAGTGTCCCAAGATTCACTAGTCTGGGTGGTGAAGTGAAACACCAGTGTGTTCATTCTGAACCAGATGAAACCGTCACTTAACACTCCACCTAGCCTTTTTAGCACATATACCAACAGCTGTTAATCCCCTAACTGCCTCTACTCACCTAAGACACATTTAACTTTATTAACTGGTATTGCATGGAAGAGCTCTGAGTATGTACCAAGGTCA